CATCGAACACGTTATTCGAAGGTCGCAGGTTCGGTTCCTGCTCGGGGCAAGTTGTCGTTTCACCCACTCTTCTTTCTTCACATTTACATTATAATTGGGTCTAATAATTTCACCTATACATTCCTTGGCATTATTGTGTTAGATCTCATTAACATTGAGTAAAAACAACGAAAAAAAAAGCCCTTAAGTATACACTTCTTTCCCTTTATTATATATATACACTTCTGAAAGCCTGTTTATTTGCAACATTTCACGGATCTTCATCAGATCTTTATCATCAGGTCTGACGAAGATCTGTCTTCGATTGAAACGTCACAAAGAAACAGCTTTTCAGAAGCATATATTTATTTTTTCCTATTTGCTATGACAACCGAAACCAGACTTCTTATAATATACATACACACACACACACACGCACACACACATATATATATGTATATATATCTTTCCATCCTACTAAGAGTAGCCAGTCAATTTTCAACTATTTCTGATTATGCTGCGAAAATTCATACAGGTATATGTGAATGCGAGTAGTTATTGAAGAGCTATATTTGCAAAAAAAAAAAAAACAATTGTGTTGCCCATAGCTTCAAACTTTGGGCATCCAAGTGGAGCTGTGTCACACAAAATTTATTCATATAATGTTACTAGTCTGAGAAAACAATATGAAACAATTTTTGCATCAATCTCAAGGTGCTGCTATTTCATAACTATGATAGTTTAAGTATGTTTATGTTCTTTTGTGTAAAAATCTTGTTTCTTTTTGCCTTGACGAAAAATTGCAATGTGCTGTATATCTAGCTTTTTTTTCATAGAAAACACGAATTTTTTAACAGTACTAATATATTTACATTTTCTCTATTTTATGTCCCTCTATTAAATGACTAAAATACTTTTGTAACAAATAAAAACAAAAATATTTTCACAATTTTGTGACATAGCTGGGATAAACATTTTGACTAAAATTGTGGCTTAGCTTTCCCATGTAGAAGTCCAAGTAAAAATATGGCTTTTATATTCTTGCACAGCATAGTTTGTCAATCAGATAAACAGAAAGTTTGAAAAGAGTATATTTCGTTTTAACGGAGAAAAAAATGTTCAAACTGAACAACCACAAGGTAGCACAAACCTGTCTTTGCTTTACCTCCACTGCATAGCACGTCAACACGAGGTTCCAGGAAGGCCTTTTCGGCAGCAAATAATGCACATCATACAACTTCTTGTCACTTGTTTTAGTGATACTGCTCTATTAGGTGTCAACAAGGGGCAGCAGTGCTTTCTTTGCAAAACAGATATCTTGCCCCTTGGACCATCAAAGGGCCGCTTATTTTGAACCGCCTCTTAGCCTCAAGGGGCAGTTTTTTTTTTTTTCCCCGTTCATTTTGTCGGTAACGTGGATCTTTCATGTTAATTTTTGAAAATTCGAATGCACACCCCGTTGCGTGCCTCGATTCTCGGACACGCGAGACTGCATGCTCATTACCTCTTGCACTAGTGTAGCCTGTGAAGAAGGTTGTTTCGGCTGTAGTGCAGATATTCGTGACTTCGGTGACGTACGTTATCAAGAGTTTATGCTGTACTCGGAAAAAAAATTCTCGGAAATTTTACCCCGTGTGATAGGCGCAACCCGAACTGGGAGCCGGATTTTCTGGAAAAAAAGTGAGCCTATTATGCAAGTAAATATGGTACTGCGACACGTAAGAAGGCATCTGTGGCGACATTCAGAATGCATTCACTTAACAACACGAGGCCACCATTTACTCATTAGAAATTTTGATTTTATTCCAACAGTCGAAGAAACTCATAAAAGTTACAAGGTCTCACAAAAGCTGCCACACAACAGAGCCCTCTATAACTTGTACCAGTAATACGCAATAACCAATATTCAATGCTGTGTCATGACCAGGGGGATTCTGCACATGCTGTCTGTCAACTTGGGTAGCAGCCGGTGTTTCCAGACAGCCCACGTAAGGTACCAGTAACGGAGCCCTCTATAACTTGTACCAGTAATACGCAATAACCAATATTCAATGCTGTGTCATGACCAGGGGATTCTGCACATGCTGTCTGTCAACTTGGGTAGCAGCCGGTGTTTCCAGACAGCCCACGTAAGGTACCAGTTTTAGATACCAGTTTTAGCAACACATCCGTTATAACAATTAGAAGCTGCCGCACTATCAGCTGTTGTTGTGAGCTATCTACAGTGAAATAATACGCTCACAGCAATGCCCGCATGCCGCAAAATCGGTTACAACAGTGAATTCTGGCTGTCCAATGTTCTAGTTGAATAGTAATATAAAGCAAAATCCTTGAAGAGACAATGAAACAAGAAAAATTAAGCTGCTGAAATCCTGCCCACAACCACGTATCTTAGTGCCCCTTCAGAATTACAGTATGCTTCACTTCACAGCGTTCCAGCACCGCAGCAAACCTAACGTTTAAAATCTGTTACGGCGAGGGAGTTGTGGAGGCCTCTGTTAACAGCCTCTTGGGCATGCAATACGAGTAAAAAGTTGATACTTTAAAAATTTTCACTGTGCAAAACCTCAGAGGTCACCATACATTGGCTCTATGGGGCTTGTGATGGTCTCGTGAAGCCACATCTAAACTTTCAAGCATGTCCGAAAATTCAGCAGTTCTGTCATCCTTAGTACAAATGTCTGTTGGTACATTCCAATGACAATATATTTTTCTCACTAGTCTGCTGTCCTCCTACTATGCTTTTTCATGCGGCTTGTTAATAGCAATTAACAGTTATAATAATAGCATTTTCGTGGCATTTCAGCATTCTTTTAAGTCGGTCTGACTGTATTGTTCCCTGTGCGTGTACCATTCATCTGTAACCGATTCAACCAGAGTGATTCAAAGTTGCATATGGCTTTTACTGAGCCCCTTTAATAACAATGATACTGCTGAATGACAACAATTTGGCCGGGAGCTTCCTGATCATCCCAACCATTTGACAAAAAAAGTCACAGCTTTGCCGCAAAGGCCAGGCAATGAACGCTATAGCAACAAATTGGAAGGTCACACGCAGAATGGCAAGCAGATCAAAGCATGCCCCGGGTTTCTCACGCACAAAAGACGCATGAAACGTACTCACAGGTACAGATTAACGCGAGTAAGCTTCTCAGCTGATACTTCGCTGTGTCTGAAAAGCGCGCCCTTTTCGCAAGCGGAGGCTGTGCAATGATTGCAGTGACCTTTGTGCGCCCGGTAACTACAACAGAATCGTTCCGACAAAACTCAAAGGGTAGCCATGACGTACGATTCTCCCCACTGCAAGATTAGGGCGAGCGTACACCCCCTTATTCTCTACACGGGCCAAAGTATGTACGCGTAAGAGATGAGAGCTGCCACGCGCTCCTTGCGCCATCTTGCTGATAATGCTGAAAACACGATAGTTCCCCCCCCCCCCAAGATGCCTGCCAACAGCAGTAAGTTGTAGATATGAATAGCTTGCTGTTTGAAGGTTGAAGGAGGTATCTCTCGGTGGCTCAGTGGTTAACGCCTCACATTCACAATGCGGAGGTCCCACGTTCGATTCCGTGCGCCGGAGTCTTTTTTTCTGAGATTTTTTTTTTCTTTCTTGCGTTTTCATATATATTGATACATATGCATATACGGTGCATGACATTGACGCCAGCCGAGTGTCCATATAATTCCTATCACAATAAAAAAGCTCAATGAATAAACAAAGGAATGGTACATGTGCTGCACCAAAGTTACGACTAAAGCCTCGTGCAGCAATGAAACCAATGACAACCTATATTAAGCTGCCAACATCATAGCGTTGTCCTGATAAGCATCATAAAAGGCTTTATTAAAAAGATTGACTGTACTTCACTAGATGTCCATAGCAATGTAAGTGGTGTACTAAATTAAAGCAAGGTACCTCGGTAATAAGCATAGTGGACGCCTGTGTTCAATTAAATCAAGTGAATAGTCGTGTTACCCAAGTATTTTTATTGAGACCTAAAGAAAGTAACCGCACAGCCATGACTTATATTTGCCCAGGAATTTACACTTGTTAATAAGCAGATGATCAAGCCTATACTGTACCATGAAATATTGAATACTGCTTTGTTTCCTTGATGTTCACATCTTGGCACTGTTTAGGAGGGGGGTGCTAAAATATTTCATCATGGTTAATCAGGGAGAACCAATGCGGTATAGTATTATTCTGTATTTTGGGATACAGTACAGGTTTGCAAATCTTGTGTCACAACAGGATCTTTTTGCCATCTCAACCAAGAAAACACCGTGCAGTCACTATGGCAGCAAGACCGCTGGTACATTTTGCCTTAAGGAGGGATGGATAGCAAAGACAGGTGTGGAAGTCCTACTGTCCATAACTCGTTTGTTTTTAATAAACGCCACAAAACCTTTCTAGTAGCCTGAATGGAGATCTTACTATATATGTCTTGTGAATTTGGCAAGAAAATACTAAGCCAGTCTAAAAATAATTAAAAATGTGTGATTTTGCTATTTTTATTTTTTGAAGGAACATTCATTCGTGAAAAATATTCTGCATGTAAAATAGTGAGATCTCTTCTGGTTATTACGTGTGCCCAGGTTATACTTCTGAACCGAAATAGTAATAATTGTAGGCATGACCATTCTGAAGTTAAAAATTTATATGTTTAATGAATAAATTTGGGGCTTTTTGTTAGAGAAAAACTCTTGTAAAAACACAATTCTGGTGGCAACACTATTATTTTGTTTCAGAGTGGGCACATACTATTCAGAAAGAAGTCACAAAAGCTTGCACCTGATACCTCAAGTGTATACAAAAAAAATTTTCCTTTTCTCACGAAAAGTAGTGTTTGGACAAAACGCCATTTAAAGTTCAAGTTGCCGCAATGCAGACACAGGATCAGGCACATTTGTGGCTGTTTTTAAATGCCATTCACTGCGGGTAAAATCGTGTCACTTCGTGAATGCGCTTGTCAGTAATGCTGAAATACCGTGCTATGAAAATTTAAAAAATCCAATTTTCAGTTGATTTTGCACTCTATCCACTTTTATTTGGACCATGACAGTGGCTACACCCGTGCATTACCATGAACCAAATGACTGACTTCCAATTACATAAGTCAGGTTTTGTCACATCTCCAATTTACCGATTTATACATTACCTTGAGACACGTTTTTTTTTTTTTCCATCATAGGTCTAGCTCAAATTAGGCTGAAGTGAAGACGGGTCTTGAAGAGCCAAATAAATGGTGACCACAGCCACATAACAGATCAGTGTTCAGCAACAAAGTGGAAATTTATCAGAAATACTGGCAGCCAGAAGATAAAACCACGTAGCAGAAAGATCCAACGATCTACAGAGCTTAGGCAACTATAAAACTCTTCAGTGAGACATTAGTCAGATATGGTGACTACGTCTACCTGTGGTACATTTCAAGTTATGTCAATCCATCCATAATTGGAGTGCTAAGGTCCAACGTGACCCCTAACCAGTGACTTGTACACAAGTCTCCATTTAATGGCCAATATGATATGATACGGCAATGCACTAGTATATTAGCCCAAATACAGCACACGAAGAATACAATGCAAGGAAGCACCCCTGCCCATTAACAGAAGAAACCATAAGACAACAATGCTGAACAATGAAGAGCAATGAGGTCATAACACTGAGTGTCTAAAGGCGCCTGCTATAATAAAATACAAAAAATCTACTGCACGCGACTTGTTACTATGCATAAGCTGCTGCTTTAGCCAATGCAGTAACAAATCACCGAGATAAAATACAGCGTGCATTCATGTAGCTGCATTTGCACACGGAACATTGTGGGTGTGTAACACTGATGCTCTATCCCTATATCATCCCCACAAAAGCTTTCCTTCTCTACGGCTAGAATCCTCCAAACCAGTGGTTCTCAAATGGGGTCCGGTGAAGCCATTTCTATGATCCGCGAATCCACCACCCGTATTTTTGCTTCAAGCGTGAGTGTGCCACGTATTGATAAACTGTCCAAAATGAAGTGATGTGGCACGTTTGTTTGATGTTTTTGGTAGCAATAACCCCCCTCCCTGCCCTTTGCTGCAGGCGGTCCCCCATCACTTCTACCAGTCTACAAGGAGTCCCCGACACAGCCATGGCTGAGAACCACTGCTCTAACCAATACATGCACATTCTCTGTCGTTCAGCACGCAATATTTACCTTATACTGCGAGGTTGGTTTTTCTGTTGAATGAAGTTGTCTCATGGCTAAGCTTACTGCACAGAACTAAAGCAAATCATAACACTGTAACAAGAGTGTACAAGTTCAAAAAAGTGCTAGATGCTTCCCAATGCCGCACCTAATTAGAATCACTCGTATCTTACATGTACAAGAATAGTATCATGAATGGCAAGTATCTAAGTCAAGTCAAACTGTGGAAGAAAGAGATCAGAAGAGAGAGAATACATAGTGGATACCTGTAGCGAGAATCACACTAGTAGATCACAGAACACATTCAACAAAACATGTGCCACACAAAGACTAACAAAAAAAGCGCATAACATGTTAGCGCTGCTATTTACACTATGTACAGCGAAAATGCTTTTTTTAAGATCAGTATGGAAAGTTTAGGAAAGTTTGGTCTCGGGCTTTCTATGAGACAGACTTCCAGAGATACACTTCTCACAAGCACAGACTAGGGCAACATTTCTGTAAACGCTGGAACATTCCACAATACAAATCGAAAGACGAACACTGTACAAGCAACAAAATGTGAAAATTTTTGCAGGGAGCTAATAAGTCTAGAAAAAGACCCAACATATGGTTGAATGATGCAAAACTTTACGGTTTAGTGAGGTAAATATCCCTGCTCACATTCACAAAGCAAGAAGGCTAAGCTATAGGAGTTATGATCACTTGTGCAGCCTCTTATTTGATTGCTTTTCCTGTGCTGATGCGTGAGCTATGCTAAAATGTGGAACTAAAACTTGCCAACACCTATTGAGGGCGACATAATAATCTGACAAGTCTTATTTGCATTGAGCTATCAGCGGCCAGCAGCAAGATGTCGACAGAAATAACTGTGCTAAAGAATGACCACACTCCAAAGGTGCATATTAAGCATGTGTGTCCATTTGTCATTAAGTAAATAAGAAACAGTGAAAAACACTGCAGAAGCTGTTGCTCGATGAGTTGTTAGGTTGTGTGGATACCTGGGGTTATACATAATAACTGCTGGCATTCTGTACTAAGGTATGTCGTTATTGCCAAGAAATATGATTAATGAGTGCCCTGCAACACTGCACACGAATTGTGTGCAATACTACCATCCAGAATAAAAGCAACACATCACCCTGCTAGTTTAGAAAAGCTTGCGTCGCTGAGAGATCAGATGAGGAGATGCGAGTCAGTTCTCAGGGGTCAGAATATTCCCATCTTCCAAATTAATTTTTTTTTTAAATTTGCATCTCCAGCAAGCACCACTCAAACGAAGACTTAATATCGATACTACAAGAACGAGGACTTAAATGCAACGCTGCCTGTATATGAAGGCAGTCTCAGGACAATGTTGTCCCCTGCTTCCTGTACATCGTAATCTTTTGTCTACTCTGCTTCATTGTGACAAATCAACCGGCACTGATTGCAACTTTCTGCAAGTAGACTGTAGCGTGCTAAAATTTGTATCAGTTATGACACTCGCAACAGGCCGAATGTGAGGACTTCGATTAGTTGATTAATAATTTTTAACATATACTTCACAGCTGGAAGACGCACATAAAAGTACACAAGAAGCACACATACCCAGTGTTACCCCATGTCTCTGTGTGTCCCTGCATTTCAGGTGCGTACCAAGACAAAGCAATGTTTCTGCAACGTGATGTAACATGACTCAAGTGGAATGCCGCAGAGAAAGAAGCTAAAGCTGCTATAAATGATATTTCAAGGTCAACTTGAGTGCTAAAGCACAAACATATTAACGCTCAACCTGCTTTCTTGTGAAGGACAGCTAATGTGACGGAGTAGCTTATGACACATCGACAACAGCAAGGTAGCCAATATGCTTTTTGGGTGACCGCTATAGACAGCTAGTATTGTCATGCTGATACATTACGAACAGTTCTCACTCTTCCCTCTATCAACAGATGAAAAAAATTCTATAAATTTGAAAAACAAAACAAAAACTAGTAATATATCCCTCTCCAGAGAGTACGATGTTACTTAAGCACCAAATAGCCAAGCATAGCAATGTGATTTATTAAACATTGCCCTAAAACCTTCTCACCAGGTGCGCACTTGAGAGGCTTTCAGCCCAGAATTCCGGCGATACTGCCACAAATCAGATAGCATTCACTGCAATATTAAATACTAGTAATGACTAGATACAAGAAAGGCAGGTTGATAGAGACTACGAATGCGTAAGCTGGAGCGGCGAAAATTGGAAAAGAAGCTGAAAAATATTATCACCGTACGATCACCCGTCCCATCGTGATGTCAAACTCGTTGTGAAATCTGTTTACTAGCAAACAATTGTGAGTACAGAATGAATGCCTCTTCGAACGTGACCGAACACTGCAGCAGCAACAGCAACAATTCAATTTCTCTTTCCAATTATGGCGTGAGAATTTGATGCCATTTGTGTCTTTGAAAACAAGGAAAAGCTCTATGTGCTAAATGGTCAGAACTGAAGTGGCATGAAAAGGACCAGAATGGGTGCTAACATTCAACGTGAGAAGTAATCCTCATAGCTTTTCTTGTCCATGTCACTATAGCATTGTAATCCCACTAACTGTGTATTTAGACACTGCACGCCAATTCAAAACAATACATTTTCATTCCTTCTGAAAGCACAATATGCATAGTTATCTCATGCAATGTGCCAACGTATGCACAGCCTTAAAAGATTTTTATTACTGTAAGCTATCAGTTTTCATTCAGCAGTCAGAGAAATGACTAATTTGTAGAGAAGAAGGGATGTTCAAACACCCACAAACCTCGATATAACAAAGACAGATATAAGAAAATATCGGTTATAGCAAAGTAAACGAAAAATAATCTTGCAATATATAGTGCTAGAAATCACCTTTATACTGAACTTTCGGATATAACAAACTTCTTATAAGATGCAATTTTGTTATAATGAGATTTCAGTGTAACCGCCATTGCTTGCAGATTCCACAACGCTGAAAGGCAAATACCTCACGACCAGAAAGCTTTGCAGAGAAGCCACATGCCTTCTTGTTCCATCCTTAGGCACACAGAAAGCTCCCACATATTAGGTCACCTTTTTTTGCATCCCACTTCCAGCAGGCCGATTTGAACATTTTTGTTTACATCTGTAGGCAAATTGCACATCAATCTAGCAAAAGTTAGCACTTTATACTGTCTTCGTAGGTCGTTGAATCTGCCGCCCACTTTTCGCTCAACGAGCTTGCATCATCTAGCGCAACTTTTTAGTTACGTTGCCACCAGCGTAATCACCTCGAACCTAAGTATCCAAGTTAAGTTTGCAAACACGACATGAACAAATGACAAATTTGAAAATGAATATAGCCCGTATGTGCTTTGTAACAACTGGAGTTTCACTAATATATACAAGCAGCTTAGAAGAAGCAAAAAGTACAAGCATGTGTCAATCGGGCCTCTAATGTTCATATGTACGACACAATGTTTGTTAACTAATGTTTATGCAACTGATGAATGTTAGTGTACCTAGCTGCTTTAATTCTCCGTCATGTAATGACATTAACAACCACCTAATTGATGCTTTCTTTTTTTTTTCATAGATGCAGAACCCTTAGAGGCAATACAACCTTTTCTTTGGCTGTCAGTTCTCACATGTTCAGCATCTTCATATTCTAACACATCTTTTGCTTACTAAACATTCGCTTGAGCCAATATTCACAAATTCTTCCATTTTACTGCTCTTCCCGAGCTCTAAGTTACTCACCAGCTCTGGCTGCCTGCGCAGTACCATCTAAAATCGCACTTCGTCTGCCAATTTCTTGCTTTTCTTATTTACATCACATTCAAAGCTTTGGCTAAAACAGATTATCGTTTCGCATGGATCACCTACCAACAACTTACTCTCCTGACTGACAGCACGCTCGTGAAAAGCACTGCAGATTCTGGCAACCGTTCGCGGTGTCCTGGAACGGGCCGTTGTCAACGTAGTCGCAGTAGAAGAGATTTGTAGGTTGAAGGCGCGGAGTGCCCAGCATGAGTTCCCTTAGGCCTTCACCAGTCAGCTGAAAACATCCCGAAACGTCAAGGTACTCGAGGTGGCTCAGCAAGTCCCAGTTGGCCAGAAATCTGCAATGCCAACGACAGATGCTTAAAGGCATTAAAAAAAATGTAAGCAGGTCTAAACACGAAAAGAATATGAACAACACAAGCAATCCTAAGCTGCAAGAGATCTATCTTGGTAATGCACGAGTAGATATTTTCGCCATATTCCATGCCCTTTGAATCATCAACTGATTTGCTCTCAAGCTGAAACTTGCTAGTACATAAGCTTTAAAAGCGTTCTCTCTAGAAGACAGCAGCATTACTGGCACTTAAGGAATTCATATTCATTTATATTGTAACTTATATATATATCATAATATGATAGGTATTTTATGTATGTACTGAAATCTATGATGTGTTGACTGTTAGGATGCCCATATGTGCAGACTCATCCCAATAATGACCAGACTAGTTGACTGCCTTATTGCCTGTGTGTTCCGATTTGATTCAACGATGGCCAGAGACATTATCAGTAACATTATTATTTGCCTTTCGGACATTTTCTTTCATTTTCGAATTGTGTGGTGTGATATGTCCTCAAGTGCTTATTTTACATGTACAACTGGTCATATGCTATTTCTTGCAAAAGAAAACTTAGAGTTCTTTCATGAGCTACCTAATCTAGCAAAAAACATATATTCATATAGCACTCGTCCCACAGAACAGTGGAAGGTGGTGACTGCGCAGACAAATTACTCTACGCAGTGAATATCTTAAATATTAACAACCCTTTTGAACTGATGTCATAAATCAAACATTGAAATACCATTTACTTCTGTACAAACACTGCGTGACCATTCCATCAATTTAGGCTCACGTAGTAAACAAGAGTGATGCTGATGTAACTATTTATGTATAAATTAACAGTATTTTCTTTGTTTCTGTGTCATCATGTGTGCTGTCGCTGCTGCATTATAGAGGTGGCTGCGGGCCTTTCGTCAAGTTGCTTGTGTCTCAAGCAACTTTTACCCGCAGTCTCCTCCATCATTGATGAAAATAAAGTTGTTGTTGTTGTTATTATTATTATTATTATTATTATTATTATTATTATTATTATTATTATTATTATTATGCTTGATCTCAACTCAAGGAAAAAGGAGCAGCCAGCACCTTATTTTTGCACCAACATCTCCTTTCACATTATAACAATAAAAAAATGGCAATTAAACAAGTAAAAAAAGCTAATAACATAAATACCGTGACCATAAATGTCACAAAGACGGTTGACTCAGAGGTGTCAGCTGAAAATCTCCAGAGAAGAACTATTAAGCGATGCAAAAAAACCTGCAACACAAATGCTATCCTCACAAATAAATGTTCTCCCTGAAAATAACATAGTAGTACATAATCAAGACACACTATATATAAACAGCTGCTTATGCCTGCTTCCGCAATCACACAGTAATTACTGTATGCCATTGTACATTACTCAGATTATTGCCCAAATGTTCATAGACAAAGTGCTGGCGATTCTCCCAGAGGGGGCATGAGTCATATGGATGAGGAAATAAACAATCATGTTCCCCAGTCACAGTCCACTACAAATTCTGCAAATTAGCAAATGTACATCATATATCTAATTTCTAATGCCAACTATTTCACAGCAGCCTAAATACAGAGCACTTTGGATTTTTCTGCTCGCTTCCCATTACAAGTTAAATTTGCATTTAACAATAGCATCGTTGCAAAATGAGGTGCCATGCAACAATTTTCACCAGAGCCCCTGCTATGACGTCCAAAGTTCAACAGAAACCCATTCAGTAGCCGATGAATTCATGGTAGAAAATAACAAGCACCCCCTAATCATCAAAACAAAGATGACTCTCCAGCCCTGCTACAGGGGCCTTGTTTACAAACAACTTAGCTATGAATATAAAAAGTTTTCCTTTACTTAATTGAAGAGCCAAATTCAATTTTAGGAGCCGTAAACACGCCCTAGCAACCATGTTCGACATCACATATTGGAATGGTGGTGTCTGTGACACTGTAGGACATTAATAAGTTCGTTCAAATCAAAGTAAAAAAAAAAAAAGCTATTGTAAAGTAGCCAAGTATCTAAGATGTTTTTTCTGATGCTATCGGCCTAAAAAAAAGAAGCCAAATTGGTGCAAAGTAGCCAAACACTGCAACCCTGCGTTTTCATGCCAATATTTTGCACTAATAGTATATTAAAGAGGTCATGAGCTACCCAACAGGCTAGGTGGGAGAACACATCCTGCAGACAGCAGATACTGCTATGAACATTTCTGCCAAATCTTGAGATTGTGCAAGGCAAGGAGAGATTACGAGCACTGCACAAAGTTGGCATTCTCTAAAACACCCTCTTTTCATATAGAGGCCCGTCCTCAATTGTTTCGGAGGTTCTAGCGACAGCTGCTTGACGTCGAAGAACAGGTAGCATGCGATTGGCCAGTAGTCTATCCAAACTCTGATCCAAACACCAAGTGCACCATTTGGATCAGATGTGCTCTTTGTCACACGGTGCCACTACATCCCGTCACAGGGCTCCACAGTGTGCTAACGTCACACCGTGAGCCACACTCGGGCAGAAAAATAAGAACGGGCAGCGCGCTCGAAGTCATGGCATGTGCTTCCCTCGTGCCATCCCTCCCTGCTTAGCTTACAGCGCTCACGCCAGAACGAGAGAAGGCTCTTAATGTATGCGACAAACTCCTATAACTCTGCTCATTCTTGACAGATTTCAAAAATGTTTGCGGTAATCGATTTGTGAGGCGATAAACTACGATAATAAGATCGTTCATTCGTTGATTACTTGAAAAAGTGGCTCATGATTTCTTTAAACTTATTTTTGTTCCAACCTTGCCTGTTCCCTTCAACAAGTGAGTGAGCAGTTTATGTTTACTTCAAATTGAACAGCCTCCACCCCCCCCCCCCCTCCCAAAATATAATGGATGCTTCCACTGTGGAAGGGTACGGAGACAAGTGCCAACTGACATCGTTGATTCATGGGTAGAGCCAATGTATAAATAATAAACATTGGTGCCAAGATCACACAAGCACAGCTAAAAACCCCTTGTTTCCACTGTGCAAGCTGATTGAAGAATCCCGAACACAAGCACTTGCCTTCCATGCAATAGAAAAAGCTTTAAGTAACAACTCTGGGTTCATATTTCGACTTCTTCCGATTATTTTCATCTCCTTTTGAGCAACCTTTCAATTTAAATGGGATGTTTAAGACACTAGGCTAAGAAGAAGTTCTACTAGATTATACTTATTTTCACTCTGAGGACAAACTTAACAGTGAAAACTTACAGGAGCCCACTGTCTGTGATGTTGAAGCACCCCGAAAGATTCAGGTGTCTCAGTCCACCGATGCTGGTCAAACCTTCCTGCGTCACGTTCTGTTTCGTTGACTGGTTGAGCGACGTTTCATCAGAGTCGGAGAGGTCCAACTCCGACAGGACGTTAACGACACCGCTGCAATGGCTCCTGAATGGACAATTGTCGCAAAACCGACTTCTTCCGTGTACCACGACAGAGGCGGACTGACTCACGGCCCCTGTGGGGGTGTCCCATGCATCCAGAGAGTTAAACGACAGATTTGAGAACAGTGAACTGCCAGTGTTGTACAGATCACAATGGCGTTTGGGACTGTCTTGCCTCAAGCTTGCGGGGCAACCTATCGCCAAGACTCCCTGCGGCTGCAGCAGACATTGTGCCAGTCGAGACAGGCCAACGTCCGTCAGCATGGAACAACCGGACAAGTCAACGTGTTCAAGCTGGGAGCATGCGCCATGTTCTTCGAGCCTGCAGCAAGTCCATGAGCAAAAACACCACCACCTCAGCACTCGCTTTCTTAATGAATGTAGCACATCGTACAATCGACTTTTGCTACAACAATCTTGCATACAACATAAAGATAGAAAATATATAGAAAATATATGTACCTGACAAACGTGTATTTTTTATGTGGTGATATTCGCAATAATTATGTTTAAACAGAGATGTAACTTTCGGTTTTTTTTTTTACAAAAAATGGAAATGATGAATTAATAGTACATTTAGAAAGTCACACAAAATAAGCCTAAGCCTGTGATTGTTAAAATGAGAATTTGGAAGTTTATTTGCAAAAAGTTTACTCCAGCAGTATAAAATGTCTGAAAAAAAAATTGCAGTCAGTCAGTGGGGGTGTCAAGATTACAGTCCAAGCCAGCACAAGCTCCCCTCCACAACCCGTGTCCACAGACAACTTCCAAAGAACTTTGAACATGTGTGCAATGTAGGATTGCATTAAAAGCGACCACAGTTTCCTCCCCAAAGGATAGAGCTTTAGGTAGTTCTTGTGCTGTTATGATGAGCGTGCAATATCCCAGAAAACTTGGCAGAGGCTTGAGCTTCGCCTTTGAAAGCAAAAGTTGATGGCATAATCAGGCGCTGTGTGCATTGCCATCTCAATCGCTAGCCCAGTTTCGGTTCTCAGTGCATGCCTCAATTGTGCCGTAAGGAAACAGAAGACTGTGTGTGTGTAACACTGGCTGTTCCAAACTAGCCTAGAATGCCTAGTGCAAGTACAGTGGCTAAGTGCCGACTACGCCATACCTCTTGCTTCTGCAAATCACCGAAGGGCCCACCATGTGTTTGAAAGGCAGCACGCTAACCTAAACAGCTGCTCACTCTGTTGACACTTTTGCAGCTGATGATGATTAAATATGAGTGAGCGCTTGCAATTGGTGGGGCCTTTAACACCCTCTCATTGCGCAATATTCCTGTTTTGACGCATGGAGCGATTTTACGCTTCTGCCACGCAGAATTGCATGCATTATGAGGACTCCTCCAACCCATATACATTGTGTCTTTTTGCAAAGCAGCTTCAAGCAATAGCGTGGCCCTGGGGTAGACCGCCTGCTTGCCACGCATATGGCCTGGACTCAAACTAAAGCTTTTCGTTATTTTGTTTACATCAATCATAATCTTTTGGTCGTGAACAAGATTACTTTTCGCTCACAACCCATGATGCTGACACCGACGCCGGAATTTTCAAGAAACAAGATGCTATCGCTTTAATGGTAACCCACCGCTGCTCCTCTTACTGCCAATAAAATCATCAGGATGTGCAAGATCTAAAAGGCGAGAGGTGAGCAAAATGGACAAGGCGAATTAGGACGCGAGTCGAGCTAGCACTGTAGCCACATTGCGAATGAGGTCAACCGGTGGGGAAAATCGAAGTTTCCACACTCTTTTTGTGAAACATAAGAACAGAATTTGCAAGTTCATTCAGTAAGTAAAGGTATGTTTCTATGGCCATCTGAATTTAATTATGTATTACTCAACACTCAAAAAGTACACAAGGCACTTACCCCTTGAACGATGTGTCCCCAATGCTAGTGTACGAGATGTCCAGGTGATGAACACTGGGGCAAAGCTTCAGAATGGATCTTAACTGCAAGTATAGAATCAGCATCACGTATTAAAGGGACACTGAAGTCAAATAACAATTTATGTCCGAGTGAAAGCTCAATGCATAACAACACTTAAAACGACAATATGATCAACCACAGTGCCCTACTTACCGAGAAATTAAGGTAAATGCACGAGAACACAAGCGCCGCAGTAGGACATTTTTAAAATAATCCCGATGACTTCAGACAGACCGCCAACAATTAACCACTAGTAATCGATCTAACTGCACTAAATAAAGAACTTTCCGTGCATCAAGAGACGCAATAAAATGCTGCTTGTTCGTTTCTGTTTGATTCGTGGAAAAAAGAAACGCCGGACATTACTATGGCGAATTGCGCGATTGGTTCAAAAATTCAATTTTCGTGAGGCTACAAGGGACAGGTGGTGCCATCTAGCGGGGCACAGTTGAAACAAAAGCGTCTGCAATCTCGGAGCCAATGAAGGGAAATTGATCAACGGCCATTTTTGCTGCTGTGGCTCCCACTGCTTTCGATCTGCTGCAACTAGTGCAGTAAGGCCGGGCAACGTTGTGCACGGCAACAGTGACGTGAGATAATTTGAAGTGCGCTAACCCAATGCGGACCACTAAAACATGATTTTATTTTAAGATAGGACCTTCCTCGGTGCAGAAGTAACACTACGAGGTTTCTGGACCGCCATTTCAACAATCAACATCGACTTAATAGTAGTCGACTTTAGTGTCCCTTTAACATTCAAGAACTATAGTTTTTAAAACAGCGCATAATTGGGACACCAAGGATAGGCCACACCATCACAGAATTAGACCAGAATACACAGACCACACAGCGTAAACTCCGAGCACAACTACCTGGGAAAGCGCCGCAGAACCTAGAGGCATTGATGTGCTGAAGTTGCGACACTCTGTGCAGTGCTCTCTCATTCGCTGGGGTCTCTTTCAGAGATATTGAATGCGTCCCTCAGGAACACCAGACGCGTCTGAACCCCGAAGTGACACACTCCTCTTCATAGTGCTTATAAAAGGCCAATGTGAAGGCTTTCTTGTCCACACGCTTTGTTCGCGAATTGTCTTAGCTAGGAATTCAAACGATTTTTAACATAAAAGTGTTTTATGCTGTGGTCCACCAAGACTTCAGTGACGTACACTCAAACCTCTATATAACAAACCTGGATATAACAAACTATTGCTTATAATGAAGTAAATTAGTAAGAATCTCACAATAGATATAATGCTAAGAATAAACCTTTATAACGAACTTTCAGATATAACAAACTTATTTTCCTGTAAGATGCAACTTTGTTCTAATGAGGTTTGAGTGTATTTTTGTCATAGAAATGACATCGCAAAAGTGTACACGATCAGATGTAAAAAAAAGTTCTGCCAACGGGCATCGAACCCACGACCTCTAAGTCTGGAGAAATAAATTCTGAGCATGCTATTCACTGCACCACAAACCACAGACACTAACGGCTAATACAAACAAACACAACTTTTGTATCTCACACTTTCTTCTCGTAGCGCCATTGGTCAGTAGGGTGGTGTTGCCCTTTTGCAACAGTAAAGTAATTAATTCATCATTTCTGTGGCCTTCACAATGAGCACCTTCAAGGCGTGCTATCATGTGTCCGTTACATTTGGCGCGTTTTTGTCAATGCTTTAACACATGGCAAGGTGGCAACCTTAACCGAAGCGTTGATCGTGCTTACAGCATCCATCTAAACCGAAAATAGCCTTGCGACGTACATCTGCCTCACCTGACTGTTACTGCGTTCCTGACCCCCGCTTCAAAAAAAATCATGAGCGCGCTATAAGGGCGACATGATGACATAAATTTCTCCTCTTTTACGGGTGCATAGCATTGTAAATCTTTTCAGACGTAATTCTAAGTGCCGACTGCATGCAGTTCACTTGCCACCTTGAGTGTTAACGTTCTGAGGGGCCGTTAAATGTTTTCACAGACAGAGAAAAAAATTGCCTCTGCGCGATTGAACCCAGCCAATAGCAGGCAAAAAAACTCTCCGGGCCTTTTACCGGTCTTGCTATTCGCTCTTCTGCAGCCCTTTTCAGCCATGCCGAGAAGAAATAGACTGATAAGCGTCTTTACTCGGCGATAGACACCTCCCTCACCATGATGCACAAAAAGAAGAAAGACCTTGTTCTGCAGACAATGTGGGAAAAAGACCGTTGCATAGCTATGCTAAATTATTTGTGCCTTTGTGCCGTCATAAACTCTTCTTTTTTTTAGTTTCCTGTTGTAGACACAGGTCGCACATGTCTTTTTAGGAACATTTCATTTTTTGTAAAAATATCTTGTGTCTATACCGACAATATTTTTTGAAGGCCTAGAACTGTGTTTTGCCTGCCTATTTCTGGTGCCTAAAGCTCGATTTTTAATGGATAAAAATCCGGCCTCCAGTGACGACCCAAGTGCGCACACTAGTATACCATTACTAAGGCTTATCGCTGTTCACACTTACGCCCACAGTACATGAGCTCTTGAAACACATGGCTGTGCCGTAAGGGCCTCCAAATCCATCTGTTCAAGGACCACGTACCTGGCGGCTGTTGAGGACATGAGAAGTAGAAAGTACAATTTTTCGGACTCCACTTCCAACGACGGGCAGGAGATACTTGACGAGGCAATTCAGCACAGTCGCTTCCCGCCTCAAGGTGTCTGCTGAAGGACTTGAAGGTGAATCTTCATCCGACGAGCTACCGCTGGATTCATCAAAATCTGCGTCTTCATCAGTGTGCCCTTTTCCTTCCTTGCTTTCATTATAAGGGTCTGGCCACAGTGGAACGTGGTCCCATAATCCTGAAAGTGAGCATCAGGTATGCCCGTCAAGGACCGCCAAATCTCTCACCATGTGACAGGAATCGACAACTGTGCCGGCACTAACTACTATAATTTCCACCATCAAGTTTTTCAAACGAGTAACAATGCCTACCAAGGCTTATAGCCGCACAACGTTGAACAATTTTACACAGTGTAAGGTCGCATAGCTGCTGTTGGTGATACTAGGCCTGACTTCATGAGCCCAATTAAGGGATTGAATTGAGGTGTAACTGCTCCCTAGCCCTACTTCCTGCCAAGTGCGATCTCGTAATGCAAGAAACACATGTCAGAGTACCTAAAACTCTAAAAATGATAGCCTATTCTCATTGAATAAAAAACTGAACCACAACTTCAGTTCAGTGCCGTACTGAAGTGGGCGCAAAATCAGGTGCTGTACATAACCATTTTTCGTGCGTACAGCGCTTCTCTGCTTTTTAAACGTACAATGGCAAGGATTGAGAACAGGACATGCCCTCACTTCCAAATGAGGTTTTATTTAAAAAATGGTAAAAGTTAATAGTACAAAAGTTTCTTACGAAAAATGTTAATCAGAATTCATTTTTAGGTATTTTTTTATATTGCTGTACTTATAACTGATACTGTACCCCAATAAAACCTCACTTACTAGTCAGCCTATGTTTGGTTCCAGTCTTTACAATCTTTTGTCCCAAAAAAAGCATTATATACTGGAATGGGGTCATTTGGACTTCTTCACAATAATAAGAACAACAATAGCCCCTAAAGCACATAGCAACCAAAGAACAGTGAGAAGCATGCTGTTTATTTTGAGCTCTGAGGACCAGCTAGTTCTGGTAAGCAGGACACAGTGGCTAGCAAGTTCCCACATCTTCCCGCAATCGGAACACCACCCAGCAGAGACAATTTACTTGTACACACCAATAATAATGTATCTTAATATCATTGTGCAACGCCGCACTTACAATTAGATCATGGGTGCTCAAACTAAGGGCGGTAGAACTTGAAGGTCCATGAAGGGCATTTCAGTGTTCCACGAGTTGTCACAACGAATGGGACCTACTCCCCTTTGCCGCCATTTGCACATAATATATTGACTTTAACAAGATTTCCATCATACATTGCAATTAATGAAACTATTACTACTCCCCCCTCCCCACCGCATCCAATTGACCTCCTCAAGATAGGGAAAAAATTAAGGGTTCTGCAATACTCTGGAAAAGCCATTGGGGTTCCCTAATGCCCGGAAGTATGAGAACCCCAGTCATAGATCAATGCCTGTCGTCGAGCCCATGCAAAACTTTGGTGCTTGTAGCCCAGCTTACCCAGTGCCCAGTGTACAGGCCTCAGCTCTTTCCAGAGGGCCGGCTCCCGAGAGATGTTGTACCAACTCTTGCATACGCTGCCGCAGATCGAGAGGTCGCGGGCGTTCAGACGTGAGAAGATGTCCAGCAAAATCTCCTGAGGCATGTCAGCCCACGATGGCAGCTCTTCACTGTCATCTTTATCACTATCTGCCTCTGTGTATAATCCACAAAACATATTTCATAATAAGGTGGGTGGTCGAGCTCCGTTCCAGACCTCATTTTCAGGTCCTTTAGCCTTTTACTGCCGATTGTCACGAATTAGTGAAGTACCGAAAAACTTTTAGCAAGCAAGTCAGAAAATGCGTGCCAGCTTCAATGCAGGCTGTCAAGTACTCACAGGGGCCGTAGATTTCAGCATAAAAAATCTAGCACCATCTGTAGCCTAAGGTACTTTATGCTAGAAGACACTCTTTTGTAGCTGATAGCGGAGAGCGCGAAGCATGTGCGACACTTTTCAATTGCTTGTTCTTTCTAGCCTCGGTAACGTAAGTTCTATCAGTAATAATTTTGTTTATTTGGTGTGTGCACACCCAATAGGTGCCACATGACGTGTTGCGTAGTTCTGAAGTACGTTTTTTGTTCCAAGGTCCTCTGCTTCCGTGACTATATGGAGAATTTGCAACAAACCTAACTGTATGCATTAAAGTTGCATTTTAGATAATTTAACTGCAGAATCCAGTGAAGGTTGCTATTTAAAGTTAGAAAATAAAATTATTTTATTTTGTTTGGCTTTTTCGTAATCCAGAAATTAAAGGGTACATGGATCATGAAACACATTTCATCAAAGACCGCATAATATGCAGAAGTGAGTATAAACCCCTTCAGGGTACATGTTTCTAAATAAATATCTTTTTTAAAAGCTTAGACTGAACAGAGATGCAGCGATGGCAATGCCCATACTCTTCATTTCCCACCTTCTCGGTGGTTTTTTCTCAGATAATACTATGAATGTTAACGAGCACCACTCTTGAGCAGATAGCGCAAAATACGAAGATACAAGCAAGGCACGGACACATTAGACAAGAGCCGATTCCAAACTAAAGCTTGTTGTTCTCAGAATTCACGCCTGTCTTATCTACCAGCAAAAGTCGCAACACCACACTGCCACCCACCCAAGTAAGAACATCTCATCCAGCTCCCACAACAATAACGAACCACAATATGCTCCATTGTGTCTCCGTATCTTGCACTGCCTGCTCAACAATGCATTCTTACAACCTTACCCAAATTTCAGGTCTCTTGAGCCTCATTGTTAGGAACTGCGAAACTGCACACTGAAAACCTGCAACCCTGATACGCTCGAGCCATTTTTACTGCGGTAAGATTCAGCAGTGACTGCAATTTCACATACCTATTACGTGTGAAATCGAACTGTGAGTATACCTGAACAAAACTCTTCTTGCGTACCATGCTAAAACAACTTTGAATAACTCAGGGTCCTGATAAATGAAATAGACACATCGCATAATTTCGCAATTACTATTTATATCCATTGTTGATAAACCCGCTCGCTATTTCTTGAAAAAAAAAAGTATCATTTATAAAATATTTTGGAGGTCCCTTGAGCTATACACTTAAACTTCATTATAACAACGTCACACCTGCAACGAAAGTACTACTTCGTTATATCTGAAAATTCGCTATAAACATATATTTGCAGCAACCTATCTATGACAGAGCTATTCTCTATTACTTCGTTAAACAAATAATCAATTATATCTGGGTTTGTTATTTCAGAGGTTTGAGTGTATTCCTGTCTGCAGTAATATAGACAAGGTGACAAACTCACTTGATCAACGTTCTCAAGTTCCACGTGACATTTCTCCTGAGCGCACTGCTGCTGCCACTTGGCATGCTCTCGAATCACTCGCTCCTTCAGCAGCTTTAGCTCCTCATAGCCAAAGTACCGGATCAGCATGGGCTGAAAGACCTGCACAAGTACAGACAAAAGAAGAAGCATCACTGAAAGCACCATGCAAGAAGGCAAAGCAATGTGTGGCTGCTGGCTATGTCTTGGCAAATGCTGGTGGATACAATAAAGCTTATACAGTGAATAGGGCATGTAATAATTTCGGACAGAGGCACAGTGCACTACAAGATGATATTGTGTTGGCTCGTTTTTATCCGGACTGCTCGGACAAAGCTTCGCACGGACGCAAGTGGCCATGGCATTGGTGCAATACTTGCTGACATACAGAATGGTACAACCAGTGTGATAGTCTACGCTAGTCGTCTTCTGTCGCAGGCGGAAAAAAATTATTCCATCTCTGAGCGAGAATGCTTAACCCTTGTCTGGTCCATCGCAATATTCCATCTGTACGTATACAGACGTCCGTTCACAATCATCCCAGACCTTCATGCGCTTTGCTGACTGTCAACACTTAAAGGGCCAGTAAACAGGCTCCATATTTTTTTTTACACCCCCATACAAGCTCGGCAATTTGTAGATTAGATCACAGCGATCACATTTTCTGATTATTACAGTGCTGCGTGCTGCGCAGAGCCTCTATATTGAAAAACAATTCCGCGCATCTTTACTGCGCCTGATCGACCCCCTTGCACGCGCAGTGACGTCAACTCGACAATTGGCGACGTGACGTAGCACACAGCTTGCCGATTGGTTTAAATAAGGTGTGAAAAATAGTAGTGAAGTCGACGTCAGTGCCTGTTCCCACCCACAGCTACAAAACTGCCCCTTGTTTCTTGGCACTGCGGTGAAAGAATCAGCCTCGCAGTTGTCGCATGCATGTGTACACTCCTCGCTCAACTGCAGTGCCTGTGCGCACATACAAACGTACTCTGCCCTTGACATGAGCAACACGGGTAAAAAGCGTTGCTCTGTCGTTGGCTGCAAATCGAGCGATTGGGCAGCAGAGAAGCATCGGCATCGAGTGCCTCACAATGTGGCCCTGCGCGCTGCATGGCTAAGTTAATCAGCCATCCAGCGACATACGTGGGCGACCTGATCGTTTGTGGTCGACACTTCGCACCTGACGCTTACACGGTTGACCCGTGGCTGGTGCGGCAAACGGTAAACAAACAACCACGCTTCGCAGCAAGCGGAAGTGCGTTGCGACTGATTGAGTTCGCCGATGACGTCAATCGCTGACGTGGTGTCACGTTTCCGAAGTGGGCAGAGTCACAACGATAGACTACGCTTTCCCCTTCATGGAAAGGAGAAGGGTGGGGAGGTCACGCGAAAATTTAAAACCAGCTTAGACCGATGTTCTAACCCCTGTAACTTCCTTAATATAGCACGTATTCGCAAAATTCTTGTGGCAGCATGTTCCCAAAGAGAAACTGCACATATGTCTGTTTTTAAAATTTTTTTGGACCTCAAGGCTGTTTACTGGCCCTTTAAGGACCCTACAGGAAGGCCCGGCCATTGGGCACTACGATTAGAAGAGTACGCGTTCTCGGTTGTGTACAAATTCGGCAAGCTGCACAATGATGCCGACTGCTTATCCCGACACCCCGTTAATCCGCCCCACTCCACCGGCTTCTAATCACATGCCTGAATCTTGGCCATCACTGACTTTTTGCTTGTGGCGGGCGAACAATGTAGAGATCAATCACTGCTTTCCATGAGTGACTGCCTCCAAACAAGCATTGCTGACCCTTCCCTTGGCAGGTTTCTGATTCAAGACGTTTTTGTACCGCTGCAACTTACACCCCCATGGAGCGGAACATTTACTTGTCGTACCACATCACCTGCAAAAGGATGTTCTACAATGATTTCATGACGCTCCAACTTCTGTACATTTAGGCATCTCCAGAACCTGTGACTGTATTCGACGACCAGTATTCTGGAGGGGTCTTCTTCTCACCATTCGCCATTACGTAGCAGCTTGCAACATCTGCCAGCATCGAAAGAAGCCTAAGACTCCCCCTGCCGGTTTCCTTCAGCCTATCTAAGTGCCAGCCGAGCCGTTTTACCAAAGGAGGTTGGACTTGCTAGGTCCCTTTCTTACTTCGACAAATAGAAACAAATGGGTTGCCGTAGCCACCGATTATGCCACTTGGTATGCAATCACTCGAGCGCTACCAACCAGCTGCACGACATCATTCTCCAGCATGGTGCTCCATCTCACCTGCTCACAGATTGTAGTTGCTGCTTTCTATCTTGTGTGGTTGATGATCTACTTCGCCGTTGTGCTACCTATCACAACTTCACCCTGTTTTACCACCATCACACGAATGGCCTTACTGAGCGCCTCATCCGCACACTGACTGACATGCTTTCTATGTAGGTAGCTAGCGACCACACCGATTGGAACATAGCTTTGCCATTTCTCACCTTCGCCTATAACTCATCCCTTCATGAAACAGTGAGCTACTCACCATTTTCAGCATACTTTACTGCTCTTCAGCATCCTTACTACACTTCGACACCCTGCTTTTGTCCGACAAATCATCCTCCACTTTGTACGCTCAAGATGCTGTCACCTGTGCCCTCATGGCACGCACAGTAGCCCGTGTTCGGTTATCATCCTCGCAGAGAGCAGAAAAGTTTCTTTGCGATCGTCGGCATAGGGATGACGTTTTTTCTGCGGGCTCTCTGTGGCTTCCATCTCGACGTGTTGGCCTGTGCTAGAAATTATTATCGCGCTACGTTGGGCCCTACTGAGTCCTTTGTCAGGTCACACCTGTCACTTATGAAATTTCCGCAACAACAAACTTATCGACTGCTACACCCAGAACTGAAATAGTCCATGTTTTTCGTCTTAAGCCCTACAATGGTGACTCGCAGATTTAACAGCACATTAAATTACATATTACCTGCAAGTTTCATTACTCTAGTAGCAGTAGCAATAAATGTTTTGCCCAAGGCCCATGTCCCCCCTTAACAGGCACCGAGACGATGCTTTACCGGCTGGGCTAATGACACATGTATAGAACTGGGACTCTGGAAGAAGCGCAAAATGACACCAAAAAGGAGGGAATACGACAACGTTGTTGTGGGTTGCACGCTTGAGCTGCCCGCTGGTTCTGCAATACTGTGGGATCTGCGCAGCGTTAGCTGTCCACAAATAAATCTCCCCCATAATAATATGTACAGTAGTCCTGGATTTATACAGGTCGATTGTGGGCCAAGTAATGCACACACTTTTGTTTCCACCGTCTCAAGTTTGGGTAATATAAGTGCAATTTCGACTCGAATGCATACATCAGAGCCAACATAATCTTTAGAGACCAGTTTCAACGTGACATGATGTGGTTATCTCGATCAATCGCACGCATCAGGCGGTATGCTAGAAAATTTGATTTTGCACTCCCATTCGTGAGTACTTTACACTCACAGTCATTTTTCTAGGCAATGAAGGGAAAGCTACGGGTGTAAAACTTGTACTCCTAAGCAAAGCAGTCCGATTTGCCATACGTTTTATACCACTGTGGAAAGTGAAGGCTGGGTGGCATCAGCTTTGCAGAGCACTTTACTATGTCTGCTTATATGGCCATTCATGAGTAAATTTCGTCATAAGTTTCCAAGGTGTGCAAACAGAATAACCAGAAGGAGACAGTCACTTCCATTAAGATGCAGATGTTATTCAGCCTTTGAGGTACACATCAAAGTGCTGCATGCATGCAAAAATGTGAAATGACCAAGTATAATGTAAAACAAATATAAACGTTTTAATGGGGTGAGCCACACGCTGTACCAGAAAGCTTCCCGAAGAAAAAATACATGGAGAACAGATGTAATTGTGGGACTAAATTCATTCACAGCATTTGTGCAGTTTTTCTCTGTAGCCGGTGCTTCACTGCCAAAAAAAACTGGCATCGAGTGTGACAGATGAACGCAACCGTTTTATCATTAGGGTAAGCAGCGACAGAGAATGTCTAAATGTTACGTCTCTGTAAGCAGTGCTCACAGTCAAAGTGAAAGGGAACTCAGCATGTCAGCACGGCCATTTATGTCATTCATTTGCTGAAAAATGCTGACAATTCAACACAAATGCAAAAATATAACACTGCTATACTATTACATAGGAGTTATGAGAAAATATGAACACTGCTTCATATAGAGAATTATCAGTAACATTTCCAGCATTACACAAGAGTTCCCAGCACAGGAGTAATCCATGAAACAGGGAAGCCTCTATGTGCACAAGACATCCAAATAAACCAAACAGAATGGTTCTGCATCCTTGGATTTTTATTTTACTAAGTGATATTATTCATTTACGATTAGGCCTAGAGGAGTTCAAAATAGAAAGATTTCTTCATAATCTTTACAGCCTTACCCAGTCAACATTTGTACTTTCAGCCTTTCTTTTTTTTGCCTTTTCTTTAATGTTTACAATATTGCCGCGAGGCGTATTGTGGATAGTGTTGCGCATGCCGATACCGCCGGCATGCGGCCTTATCGTGGTCCAGGATGCACTGCGACTCATCTGCGAAGATCATGGCCCGCACGTCGACCATTCGTTGATAACGAGATAGCGCCAGACGCTACGGCGACTGTATCTCGGATGGTGAACGCGCCTTGCGTTCCAGTGGGACATTTCTGTTACCCGATGGCCGTTGAACGCGCCTTGCGTTCCAGTGGGACATTTCTGTTACCCGACGGCCGTCGAACGCGCCTTGCGTTCGAGTGGGACATTTCCGTTACCCGACGGCCGTCGAACGCGCTGTTCGCCTCCCGCTAAGCCGGTGTGTCTGTTTTCCTTTAGTGGGCGCAAGTCCGCCAAATAAACGGATCTCCTTCTATTTCTACTAACCTCCCGGTCTCCTGTCTTCGGGCTACCCTCACTCTTACGTGACATCTGGTGGAGGTGCGGGGTATGCACAAAAACGACCTTAAAACAGCCACTGCAGAGAACGAGGACGCTGAAGACACAGATACTCGAAGCAGTCGCCGCCTCCGAAACCTGCCACCTGAGCTGGGACCGCTACCGGACCCCACGCGACCACGAAAGGACGCTTCCA